AGAACAGACCAGAGACAAAAATAATCTGGAATAAATGTAACAAATGCGATTACTAAAAACTTATCATTCTTATACGAATCTGTCTGTTATTATATGTCTTTTAAATACACCTCTTACAATAGTAGCTTGAAGTTTATTGATAAAAGGTTGTGCGTTTAATGCGTCGACGTCATAAAAATACGACTAAAATAAATATTTTATATTTTCTTAGTGTCTGAATATTCCATTAGAAATTTAATTTACTTCTTTATTTATTGTTTATTATAAATCAATCACTATTTTTTTGGGTTGTTTGGTATATGAAAATAATATATTTGGAGGTTAGTCTTTTTTTATAAAAATGAATGTATGACTAATTCTAACAAAAATATAAGTCAAAATGAAATAATCTATTGCTTTTGTTCCGAAAGTAATCATTGTTATTGCCCATACAATACACTATTTGAGGGACGTTTTGTAGACATCATTTTGGGACATCACGATAACCATAGGTTATTGTCACTCTAAACAAGAAATCCTCTTCTATTTTGTAAACACAGTTTTGAGTTATTAATTAAAGAAATCTCTATACAAAACCATTTTCAATAATTAATAACTCGAAATTGTGCGTGGTTGTTTGCGAAATGGTAGAGGACTTTTCTATTCAGTTTAATCCGTTCTGCTGCACACAAGTGATATGCTAAAAATTACCGGACACCCTATATAAGATTGAAAGCACAGAGTATCCGGACTTGAATGCCGCAATGCTCGTATGCAGGTAAAACTTATTATAAGATGAGAAAAAAACCCATCTACTTTTTTGCAAATTACCATGATAATTATTGAGGCATTAATTAGAAAAGGTTGACGAACGCTTGCGATGTAGCAAGACAAATTATTTGGACAGCCTGATGAGATATATCTTGGCATCGGATGAGACATGGCTTTTTAACTGTTTCTTAGCAAGCAACGGTGGATATCGAATGATAGAGAAAGACAGGATAACAGTAAGCAGTAAGCAGTAAGCAAGCAGTAAGAGATATTATAATTTTGGACAACTATATCTGCTTTTGCTAGGAGATCAGAAACATATTCAAGATATGTCTCTTCAGATTGCCCTACGGAGTTCATTCCACTGTTTCGTGCACATTGGTTCACCAATTGTTTTTGATTACTTAATATCTCAAAATTTATTACAGTATTTGCGAAACAGAAGAGAACTTACTGTTCAGTCCGATGAATTCTACTTGCATACGAGCGATGCGGTAAATTCAACAGTTACTTTTAAAAGTAACTTTTTAAACCCTACATGTTATATCCAAGTTATAATTCCAGATAGTTAAACTTGCTGGAGTAAATTTTGCTCAGTGTCTGCTATAAATTTTTGTGTAAATAGCTTGTTAATAGAAATTTAATAGAATCCGCCGACAGAATATGACGGCAGATTGACGATAAACAACATATAATAGAGTAATATAATAGTTCTATAATAGTTCTTTTAAAATATAATTATATTGTGTATATGAGAAACATTTATATTACCTCAATATAAATAAGGTATATAATAGTCGTTATATTATGTGTTACTTTTTTATTATATAGAGTATCTGGACTTAAGTATTGCAACATTCGTGTTAGAAAAGAAAAGTAAAATAACTCATCGAACTGAACAGAAAGTTCTTTTTCATTTCTCAAACAACTACGGTGATTTTTGAAATAATAATTAAAGAAAATGATGAATCGATGCGCACAAGTTTCTTTAAACTGTCCACATAGCCAATCTCGCCGCATCGCATATACTCATTCGTCAATCTTCTTTAATTAATATCTCATTAATGAGATATTAATTACCGCGGTAGTTTTCAAAATGGTAGATGATTTTTCTTTTCAGTTTAATTAATTATATTTGCACACGAGAGTTCAAGTCCAGACCCTGTATAGCAGTTATGTGATTGCGTTTGCTATGTGAGTAGTATGTTAATCGGTGCGATATTTAACAGATGCAGGTGTATGAATCATTTTAATGGAAATTTTATCACAATTAAAAATTATTCATCACAATTGTTAGAAAGTATTTCACCAAACGTGCAAGAACCCATATGGTACCAAAATGAAGAATACCCTGCTCATTTACAGCGGCACGGCCAATTAGTGTTTCTTATAAAAAAGTTTGAAGATGAATCGTTGAGTTAGTTGGTCAAAGGGCCATAAGTGGCCTTTGCGAATGTTCTTTATAGTATAATTTGAAGCTTCATAGTAGCCAAGGACATTATGTCGTCGCACACCTCCGATGTATACATTTGCAAGAGTAGCGAGAGCGTCCTACGGGGAATATACAATGCAGCTTATATTAAAGGACGTACCTTGTTCGTATCCGCAGCTGCTATGTCTTCCGGTTGAAATATTTTGAAACAAGGTCTTGTCGGCATCGCTGTCGTGAAGTTTCGTCAGCACGGCCACGCAGAGGTTCGCGTTTGCGTCCCAAGCGCAATGAGGGTCTTGAAGAGCGACGCAGGACCTGCAAGTAGCCACAGCAGGCGAATCGCAATGGTGCAACGGGACTGCGCGAATCTCAGAATCTGTGAATACCACCAGTTTGCTCGCTTCGCCGGCAAGATGAACCACTAGGAGGTCCTTGACTGCTTGACCTACAATAAACAATTACAGTTTACAATAAAGTAATAATAACATTAACAACGATGGATAACACAAATACGACGGAGCATTTCACACAGAAGAAGATTATTAAATGAGAAGACACCAGTTCATAGTAAGCTTATTGTAAAAAGTATTTAATAAAAAATTTATTCTTGAGTCCCCTAGAAGTTAAACAAAATTTAGAAAATTTTGCGTATCCACAATAATGCAGCTTCACGATAATACGATTGAATTCTTTGAACCTTATCTTTAGATATTTTGTGTATATGTAAGTATAGAAATAGATACATATTTAAATTATATACAATTATTATTTATTATCACTTGACTAGTAATTAATAATTATTTTTACGGCTAAACATTTTGAATATTATAAACTTAAGTTTATCTTTCGTACAACACTATTCGTTTTGTGGCAACTTACCAAATTTCAATACTTGAACGTCGCTGATAATAACTTGACCGACGTTATTACGAGTTTCCGGAGCACGCGTGTTGAGCGCTTTCAAAATACGGCCATCGTCTGCATGCAACAAATTGATTTATTAAACTGGCGGGATTAACTGCATTTTCTATGCCAATTATTGTTTCAATTTTTGTCAATTTATGTTAATTATATCAATTTAATAATTTTGTATATACATATTCATACATCGCATTTTGTTCGCTGTGAGAATGTATAAATGATTATACCTGTTCCAATGTAGAGTATGTCGTAAGCTTTACCATCTAATGCCTTTACTTGAGGATCTACGGCGACTTTAGTAAATCTGTAACTACAAAATTAACGTTTCTTGTTAATAATACATTATATTACATATTACGTCATTCAGACTTAAAAATATATAATAAAGAGTAGATATCAGTTTAAAATAAACTTTTGATGCAAAATGGCGTTTATTAAAACGTATACCTATTATTTTTGTTCACATTTTAGCGTATAGTATAATGTTTAACTTTCTTTTTAAAACTAAAAGATTGCTTTAGATACTTAGTATAATTGTAAACTTATTGTGCTCTATATAAAAATTCTGATACTTTTTTATATGTTTGTATATAGGGTGTCACAGAATACAATAAACAAATTTCATGAGCACGTAGAACGGATTGAGATGAGCAAAAACGCGCTGTATCATTTCATACACAATATGTAAAATTTCGAATTATTAATTATTAAAAATGGATATGAATAGAGATTTCTTTACTTAATAACATAAACATTTTCTTGTTATTTATTACCGATCTACGTTCATGAAACTTGTACATTGAATTCTGAGGTACCTTATATACAAGGTAGGGGAAAAGTCCCGAACCCTTGAAATATCTCAGAAGTTGTGAGATATAGAAAAAAATGTTAAATACAAAAGTAATAGGGTTCAAAGTGGGGCACTTGATCTTGACCTTGATCTAGGGATCAAATTTAGGGGTCATTTCAAGGTCAACTTGGAATTTTCAAATGGGAACGTTTATTTTAACTCTAGAAATGAAAAGAATAACAAATTTTACATTCAGTAGGTGATCATGGTTACATGATTAAATTGATCCCTAGAGGCTATTTGAAGGTCAAATTAATTTTTAGATAAGAAGTTCTTAATGATAGCATTTTAAAGAAAAATATTATGATATGATAAGATACGAAAGTTAAAGGATTCAATGTGGAGCACTTGATCTTCACTTTGAAACAGGGGTTAAACTTTGGGATCATATCAATGTCAGTTTAATTTTTTTTTATAGAAACCCTTATTTTGACACTATGAAATTTTACATAAAACTGTGTGGTCATGATTTAAAATTATTTTGATCCCAAGGGTCATACAAAAGTCAAACAAGTTTTATCCGAAAAAAGCCTTCCTCTGACATCAGAATTTGACAGAACGTGAAATTTTACATAAAAGTACGTGGTTATATCTAGGTGTCAAATTGACCCTAGGAGTCGAACTGACCTTAGAGTGTCTAATGAAGGTCTAATGAAGGTCAAATGGACTTTATCCGAATAAAGACCTTTCTCTGCCTGCAGAAATCGAGCATGAAATTCTGCATAAAGATACGTCGTACCGACTCGCAAAATGGATGTGCAACACGATATTGATCACAAGTCTGTTCATAAAATATTAAAGTAAAACCATTTTCATCCATACAAAGTTCACATAGCCTTAACTGGCTGAATGATTTGTCGATTTTGTCTTCACTGGCCGGATCAATTGTCGATCTTGCCTTGACTGGTTGAACCGTTCATCAACCTTACCTTGACTGGCTGGATCGTTCATCAATCTTGCTTTGACTATTTGGATTATCCGTTGATTTTGTCTTGACTAGCTGGGTCGTTTATCGATCTTGTTTTGTCTTACTGGACTATTCGTCGTTCTTGTCTTGACTGGCTGAATCTTTCGTTGATCTTGCCTTGATTACCTGAATCATCGTCGATCTTGATCTATCTAACCTTCATTTGACACTTTCGAGTCAGTTTCACTGAACTTGTCGAGGACGACTCCAGAATGTGTTCAAAGGTTTCTTCTACCTTTGCGATTATTGCAGGGACTATCTGATTCCTAAGCATATTCTCATATTTTCCGGCATTCAAATTACCATCAATAAAAACTGGGCCGATCAGAGTGTTTAATATACCTGTCCAAATATTAAATTTCTGTGGGTATTGTGTATGTGCGTCTACCATCCAGTGAGAGTTCGTCCCAGATCAATATCTATAATTATACTTATTAACATTATCATGTAATGTAAAAGTAGCTTCATCATTAAAAACTATCTGAGTTAAATATTTAAGTTGAGCATCTATTCTTTTCATCATTATTTTGCAAAATTCAATCCGACGATCAAAGTTGTCATCATTTAATTCTTGCACTAGACGAACTTTATAAGGATGAAAATGGTTTTACTTTAATATTTTATGAACAGACTTGTGATCAATATCGTATTGCACATCTTGCACATTTTGCGAAGAGGGTTCTCAATAAAAGATTGTAAGACATCCAATATTTTTTGTGGACTTGTCGTTGACGATGGTCGACGAAAAATCGGAATGTATAAAAGTTGATTTAAATTGTACGATTTTCGACAAACCAAGGATTTAAATTTCTTAAGTAATTAAGGCAGTTGAATGTCACTGATTCCAATTTTATTAATTTCTATTTTGTAGCGGGTGACAAAATATTTTAGAAGGTACATTTAGGACTGAAAAATATATCTTGTAAGTCATTCCATTTAAACTGTATTAATAAAATAATAAAATAATAAAATAAAACTGTTATAACTGAAATAGATGGCATAATGAAATCAATAATAAAATAAGTTCATCGAAGATTTCTATAATGTAAAAAAAAATAAAAATCACATAAACCAACTATTAATACAAAGAGACTCTAATAAAGCTGATAAATTTAAGAGAGATATTAAGAGAATTATACTATGATCATTGGAAATAACCGAAATTGATCGGATCTATAAAGCAATTTCTATGAAATAATGGTTTTCAAATTAGGTGTTATTATGGAAAAAAATAATTAAATTTGCAATTACTCGTGAGGGTTAATTTGACCCACGATTACGTGGGCCCTGTCGATTGCTATTGTTAAAGATAGGTGTTATTTCGGATAAAGCCTATTTGACCTTTATATGACCTTTGGGGTCAAAGTAACCTCAAATCATGATCACACAGTTTTACGTTAAAACTTCATGCTTTATTGATTTCTGGTGTTAAAGATGAGGGTTTCTATTAAAAAAAATTAAGTTGACATTGATATGAACCTAAAATTTGACTCCTGTTTCGAGATCAAGATTAACTTCAAGTGCTCCACTTTGAACCCTACAACTTCCGTATCTAACATTTTTCTCTAAAAAGCTTTCCTCAAGAATTTTTCATCTAAAAATTGATTTCACCTTCAAATGATCTCGAGGGGTCAATTTGGTCCCCTTACCACTTATATGAACTAAAATTTTCCGTTCTTTTCATTTCTGGAGTCAAAAATAAGGGTTCCCATTTGAAAATTCAAAGTTGATCTTGAAATAACTAACCTTTGAAATAACTTAAATTTGACCCTTAGGTCAAAGTGACCATCAAGTACCGTATTTTGAACTTTACTACTTTTGTATTTAACATGATTTTTCTATATCCCATTTCTTCCGAGATATTTCAGAGATCCAAGACTTTTTCTCCACTTTGTGTAAGTAATAATAAAAGATGCAAATGAAACATATGAAAAAGAAGAAAGATACAAGAAGAAAGAATGAAAGATACATATACAGATTATTTATTATCTAGAAAAAACAATTAAACCCCCCTCTCTCTCTTTCTCTCTCTCTCTCTCTCTCTCTTTCTCTCTCTCTCCCTTTCTCTCTCTCTCCCTCTCTTTCTTTCTCTCTCTCAATAATATAAAAATTCATATTATTTGTAAATGAAAATATTCGCATGTCTTTAACTATTATTACGATTCAATTCATTGAAAATATTTTTATATTAATTATTATCTGCAATTATTAACTTTGACTTTAACTGAATGCTATTCTAGATATGCATCAATTTAGAATGCATCAGAATCTGATAGAATATACATAAAAAGAATATACACAGAAGAAGGATATACACAGAAGAATATACACAAAACAAAAAATTAAATCATATATGAGATATATAATTGATAGTTCACTCACCTAAAACTGATTTTAGTTATCACAGGTAGTGCGAAATAGGATTGCACCGCGTCGTCCATGAGAGGATGGGCCTTAACAAAATTGACAGTAATGTCCGGAAGCGTTCTAGAATCGTTAACGCAGGCGCCGGGTCGTGGTTCCGGCACCCTTTCTGGTAAAACTCGTAACCAGTTGCTGTTTATAGTCTCTTGCTCCTTGAAAGCGCCTTGGAAGACTTCGAGAATATTGTTCATGGAGAAAGCGCAAATTGCTGAGCCTCCGATGGAGTTCACCGGGGTCGTGAAAACCCCGTATACCAAATGCATAGATTCTCCTGCGTATCGACCGTCCGTAACATCGCTTGTTGATTCTAGATAACATAAGTTTACAAAATTAGGTTATAAAATTATTTTTATTTTATGCATTCATGTGCGTTGGCAATATTATAGGTAGCATGGGCATTTTTTATTGGACGAATGTTTTATCGGTTATATAATGATAAATAAATAAAACAGTACACAATATACGAGATAATATACAAGCAAATATATAAGGTAAAGCATTTAAATACAGATTAACACATTTGAAACTATAATCTGACAAAAACGTTACTGATATAATTTCAAAATTATTTATTATAATTAAATAAGAGCGAAAGAACATTATATGTATATATATATTCTTTACATTAATATTCTCCCTCTCTCTCTCTCTTTCTTTCTTTCTTTCTCTCTCTGCAATCCACTGGATCTCTTTGTCACAGAAAGGTATTAAAACCGAATATACATCGTTTATAACAATATCTACTTGAAAATCGACCAAACGAGCGACGCGTACATCACACGGACTCTGGTTGCTGGCGTTATTTTATTTTAAAAATATAACTAAAGTCTTCAAAATCGCATTCGCTTCTTTGCGATATAGAATGCAAATGCGTATTGAGTGAGGGTCGCGGAAAAATTAAAGAAAGGAAGAGAGCAGTATATGTTCTAAGTAGGAACTAACGCGGCATGGAGTTGGAGCAGCTTTTTTACGAACCTTTTTAAGAGTGTATAAGAGCCCTCGTTTAAAACTACTCGAGCGTGGTTTCGATCGAAGCCACGAAAAGACATGCATATATATACTCACGTATTTCATTGAAATAGAAGGGGTATTCGCCCGGTACCGAACAGTTGAGTCGCGCTTTCAGGAAACTCGTCCATCTGTCGTTAAATGCGTGTGGCCCGCCTTTATCGTGCTGACAGACTCTTCCTACCCGCGAATATACGGCCTAAAATACGAATCAAAATTGTCAGCAATCGATTTAGCGTTTATACACAGAATATTCATCGTAACGGTTATAACAATTTCTCAATAACTTGAAACTTTATTCATTCAAGCTACAATGCACGATAAAAAAATCGAAAATTCTTCTCCCTCACAGTTCTATCTGCAAAATTCTAGGTCATCTTGAACATTTTTAAGATAAAACTGCATCGTTGTTTTTTCCTTTGTTATATTCTTCATGATATATCTTGTAATATACATATTAGATGAGTTCAATAATATATATATTCACAGGATGTCTTACTTAACTCGAACATCTGAAGTATCTCGCTTGTTTTTTAAGATAGGAAAAAAATATCAAAGGGAAATATTAGTTCGGAAGGGTAAATATTATAATAGGCAAAACATTTTTTGATCCAGGCTAATATTTTTCGAAATTTCAAGATTATCGAAATTTTTTAAAATGGGATGACATATTTTTATCATCACTACATGATAGGTCACGAATCCAATGACGTATAACATTATGACCTTCATATGACTTTGAATACGAGAAATTCATAAAAGTTGAGCAATTAATGCAAATAATGAAATAATGATGACAGAATGATTAACGAAGGAAAATTTATTTTAACAAGTGTTCAAAGTAATGTCCATTAATTTCAACACATTTCTGTATACTCTGGAAGATTTCAGAGAGGATGTATATAGGTTCAAGGTTCAAAGTTCAATATACCAATATCTGTCGTTAAATATAACAGCTAATTCACGCACATGCTAATGCACGTTGTCTGATGTGGATTTATTTTAATTGTCACCAGAATATTGAATATTTAATAAAGTAAAAAATAGAAAGACTATGAGGTCTTTTATTTAATTTATAATTTTATCATTAGTTTGAATATACTCTATTTTAAAATTTAAATGATTATAACTTTTGATAGAAACATTTTTTTCAAAGAAGTGTTTTTGATAAAATTTCCTTGTTTTTTCCCGTAGAATCCAAATGTGTAACATTTTATAGGAAGTGTCCCTTGAAATTATGAAGTTACCCTTGTCCTCTTTGAATGAGGAGTGAGGCGACTTTATGTTTACATAGCTGGAAATATATGATGAAATACCCTTCGAATACATGAAACTTTCTCATGAATAACTTTTTGATTCGATTAAAATTATTCTTTTACACATCTAAATTTCCTAATATTAATCATTTTATTCTACTAAATGCACTTATAAACTCTGCGATATACAGTAAATTTAACAAAATTTAGGAAAGATCGATACAAGTATAGTTACAAATAAAATTAAAAGAAGAGCTATTACCTTTCCGCAATTCATATATTCGACGGCTGTCTCGCGATAGAAGAAGAATACGTAATCTTGATATGCGAACGAACCGACAAAATTGGGACCTGCAATAATAAAGTTACATTGGCTTGGCGATATGTAATAAGAAAGGTATCTGAAAAGTAACGAAAAGTGAAAAGATAATGTTGTTTGCCTTTTTAAAGTAGAATAAATTTTCCGTTAATAAAAACGTCAAAGGAACAACAATTATGTATTAAATAACATTTCATTACTTATTAATACCTATGATACTCAATTAAGATTTATTTTTGCAATCACTTTAGCTAGCAGTTTGCACTTATTTACAACAAACACTCGAATCCAAAATTATTATTAACAAAAATTAAAACAAGAGAAGAAGTGACGTTATTTGAACAATAGCGAAAATCATTTGATCGCATTTGCATATACACATATGTTATTACCAACAGACTTTATCTTAGCGCTAGAAACTTACCGTTCAACTGATTCAGATCCAAACGTTCGGTGCGAATTTTATCCCTATGAATTAGTGGTTCACCGCCGGTGAAGTCGGCCACCGTCGCAGCATATAGCTGTCCCTCTAAAACATACATAAACGTTTCCGTCAGTATTAGTCAGTCGGCTGGTCGGTTGGTCGCACCTTGAACATTTGCAACTTAAACGAGATACCGGGCTGATGGTTGTACTGCGACACTCTCGAGTTAATTCTTCCTCTTCCGCGCGTCTCTACTAGAAATTGCTCGTAAAATTTACGCTGGAGAGACTAATATAACCTTAAAAAGTAATAGTATAAGTAGCACGTATGTTCGTGCATATTCGACATTGTATTCTTTTTGCATTTCAACTGGAAAAAATGCTGCTGAAGCCACAAAAATGATTTGTTCGGCTTTGGTGAAAATACAACGAATATTCATAAAACTTAAAAAAAATGGTATCAGAAGTTTTAAGAAAGCTTGCTCCACAGTTCGACTTCAGTTCGGCAAAAGGAACAGAAATCATCTTTAATACGAGCTAGAAAGCTTTAACGCACCCGGCATACTCGTATTTTCCAGACTTCGGCTTTTCAAATTTTCACCTGTTTCGGTCGCTGCAACATTATTTGACTGATACATATTTAAAAACACTAGAACAATACAGATGCGCGCTACGTACACGTTAGTTTATAACGGAAAAATCTCAGTTCGTTGTAATTAAATAGATATTAGATTAACATTTAAATTTTTTATTTTCTTTAACATACAAATTAGTAAATTGTCAGAATTTGCGTAATGATTTATCAGCCGCAAATACGCGTGAAACAAGTTGCGGCGCGGCAATGCGATAGCTAATCAACATCGCGAAAAAGCGACAACAATGATTTCGATAATTTCAAGTATCAACTTAACACGCCTTTTTTAGAAAGGAAACAAAAGATGTTCTTGAAAATCTATCGATGACTTTATTGATTAAAATCCATCAAGTTTCTATCATGATGGAATTCTACAGCTGCCCTACAGATGACGTAAGATCACCAGTATTAACGAAGATTATTTCGATAATTAAAATTATAAATCTTTAAAATTTAATCGAAAAATAAATCTTGATATTTGGTAACGAAAGTACCGAATTTTAATTTATACATCTAACCTTAGTACAACCTGATGAATTATAATATCCGAAATTGTGCGAGGCGCGACATTTGGAGGATTACGAAATTGAAGTAAATCAGGCGAAATAAAATCGTTTTACGACAACATGTCTTTACGGCAGCAGTCGCTTGCAGTCAGTAGTAAAATGCCTCCAGAGAGTTATGTGTCGTTACGTTTATACGAAAATCTCGGCCGTGTATCTAATAGTCGCAAAAAGGAAAGACGAAAAGACGGCTTGTGAGAATAAGTTCTCTAGTTGGGAAAAAGCTGTAATGCCATAGATGACTTTGTAGATTCGTATGTTTCGCCCGTGGATGAGCAATTTATCTTCGCATCGTAGCGACTGATGCCACGAGACCGGCCGGAAGAAGCCGTGTGTGGATTTGATCGTCGTACACGTGTGTACAGCGTATATCGCGCACGCGCGGGTATACACACAGTGATCACCTACAGAGCGGACTACATTTTCTCCTTCCTCTTCCTGTAGTGAAGATCCTCGAAGGATTCGCCCACGGCCCCTCGCGGGGCCACCATATTTCACGTTCAAAAAGCACGATGGGATTTGAGGCTGGCCGACATATGCGCGCGATAAGTGTATATAGCGGCCGGGCGGTCATATATAACGGGGGCTGAGGTAGACGTTAGACTTAGGGGATGAACGTGCCCGTTGCAGGCTACAAATCTATGGTGAGCCCCGCAACGCCAAAGCTCGCGAATATCGTATACCGCGCATGCCACGAGGTAATACCACCGGGAAAGAGGTTCACTACGTTACGCGCGCACGCAGCGTATTACGTGGCGTACGCGTGCCCGCTGCGCTTTTCGTGCATCATCCGCTTCATCCAAGTGAGACACGCGACGCAGCATTGAGGTCGTAGCTGTTGCTGCTTTCGCGCTGCCATACTTGAGATGATTTAATGCACCGTTGCGCCGCCCGTGAGTCGCATCCTATATCGCGTCATCTCTATGAAAATTCAACTAAGACAGAAGTCTATATGTTTATGAATTGTTGCGAAAAACGGGATTCAAAATCGAATCACCGAGCAAAGCAGTTGCGATATAGGAGATAGGAGAAACGATAAAAAAGAGGAAATTGTATATTTGTAAATATTATGTGTATAAGGTAATATATATAACAGAGTTGGGAAAGTTACGTTTTAAAAGTAACGCGTTACCGTTCTTTTCTGTAGAAAGTAACTCGTTACCGTTGCCTGTTACAGATTTGAAAAATCTGTTCCGTTCTCACAATTCCGTTTATACAAAATATAATAGTACGAATGAAAAGACTGATGTTGATGTATTAATGCTTAAATATCGCTGGCATGAGGACAGTAAAATAAAAAATGTTTTAGACTAATAAAACAAAATAAAAATATTCGTACAAAATCATATCATATATTTTGCACCTCGGAATTTAATGTATAATTCGCTGATTTTTCCGAAAAACGAATAATTCGAAATCGTCTATTGAAGTATTGGTGGATATTTATCACACTCGCCAGCAGAACGCGAAATAGTGCGTGTGTATCTCAATTGTGTGCACCAGAGGAATCGCCTCTGTGGAATGCACAAGGACTCGTGATACGCGCGTTGAAGCTCCTCGTTCTCACAAGCGAACTCCACTCGTTGTAGAGCGATCGGATCCCTCGAGTGGCACTTTGCGTCGTCAAAGCCACGCGTCGCCTGTCAAATCTGGTGTTCGTGTAGTGTACGACATATGTTTCAGAATGTAATAAAAATCTCCTTGATAAATATTTTCTACAAACACACAGGTTTTGAAACTATGTGGAGTGACGCAAATTTCACGCGAAAATGTTTCGATAATACGTGATCCGCTTCGAAATTTTCCAGGCTAAAAAGATATATTTATCTCTGAATAATTGTCAATTTGATTACATGCTGTTTAAACAAATTTCATCTGTCGATATGCTTGTCACATTAATCGTACAACTTGTCACAATCTTAGTCAAGATGTTTCTTGGGCGTAATGAAAAGTTTGCTGAGTGTTTTTAATATCGTCGAAATAGCTTATATATTTAATTAATCTTTTCAGGGATACTAACATATAGGTTAGGTACGTTCAATTTTTTTTTAATTAGAACATTATGTCGAAAAAAAATATAACAAACATTACTATAAATAAATATTTAGTACCAAATTCTAGGAGAAAAAAGAAGTCTTGTCACTCATGATTGACAGATATCATATTCATGTCATTTAAAATAAAATTATTTTCTTCTGATTTTAATAAATTCATTTTGAAAAGATAAAACAATGTATTAACCGATGACTAATAGATATTGTTCTCCAGAGGTTCCATTATAATGTCTTGAAAAATAAAATAATTACAAGAGTCAATTGTTTGTTGAGATATCGCTATGGTCAGAATTTAATTCTACGAGAGGTACTGAACGTTTCAGAGCACAAAGTTTTGGCTATAGTTAAGTTTAAACTAGAAAAAGAAGAAAAAAAGAAACTACTTCGTATAGTTTTCAATCTTGCGTAGATTAAAAAAAAAATAGACGTGACATCGATTGAATTCATGAAATCAGAAACTATACAGGTCAGTTTTTCTTTTTTTCCAAAAACTTAGCGATAGTCAAGAAATTTAATTTTCTGAAATATATTTGGTGTTCGAAAGCACGAGTCGTTTGATATTTACTCAACTGTAAATGCAAAAACTTACCGGCAAAGACGGCTGTACTATTGTGTCGTGGGTCGTAAGGGCAGAGACCCAAACCATCCATCTCACTTTTCTGCACATACGCTCCATCCTGAAATTCAAATCAGAGGAATTTTTCATCACGATATATCATTTATTAAACGCAATAACATTAATAAACATTAATAAATTCGATAAACTTCATAGAAGTGTAATACCTATTTGATACTGCCTACATAGAAAGAAAAAAAAAGATTAATCTTTCTTACAAATTATGCAGAATAAATATGAGAAAAAGTTCATCACGTTTTTCTCGAAAACGGTTAGAAATAGGAGAAAATATTTATTATCAAAAATGTTATGTTATTATCAAAAATGTTAAGGACATACAGAGGGATATATTTTGGTGACCTTAATTTTATTTTATAGTCAATAATTTAAGTTCAACTTCATTTTTTTAATAGAATAATATAGTTTTTTTTTTATTCTTTCACGCCTGATCTTTTTCACATTTGTCTTATCAATGTAATAATCCTGTTAATATTTTAGAAAAAGTGAGTACATTTTCAACAAAATTTAAAAGGAATTTAAAATTTACGAATGCATATGTATTAATGGGTGATCCATTTAAGTACTTTGCTTTAACATTGCGCACAGGTATATTTTTAAAACACATTCATTTCTTAACAATATTCTTAACAATATTACTTGTCAAGCTCTTTCAGAGTGTTTATGTTCTTGCTATATTTATCCTTTTTTTTATATACAATACCATTTTAAGATATTAGCAATTTAATAACTAATTCCAATCGCAATCAACGTGGATGTATCCCCTTTTAACTGCGTTAATGGACAATCGGAATACTACAATATAATTTGTCGGTTCTACCGGCCATATTTTTAACCATTTTGTTGAAACGTTCGACCGACATGTTAATAAAATAATTATATCGAATCAATAACGAGCTCTCGCTCTCCCTCTCTCCTTCTTTCTTTCTCTCCTTCTTTCTTCGTATGCGATGTTTTATGAAATAATGGCAATGTGTAGTGATTGCGACAATTGATTGCTGATTTTAATATTTTCTATGATATTTCTTAATTGCTCGTTAGTCAATTAATTGGAAGTTTAGTTTTGACCAAATACATAAATCTACAAAACTTGATTTGTATAAATATTGCGCATCCTATGAAACATAATAATACCAAAATTCTTCTCGTGTATATTCGTATACAGTAAATAAGTAAATGTAAAGCAAAGCAAAGCAACTTTATATTGTTACGCTATATATCATCGAATTTGTTTCAATTCACGCTACGCAGAATTATGAAATATAAAACGAAACAATTTTCAGAAGCTCGTAAATTTTTTTTACCCAGAGTTTCATTGGTTCGCATATTGATTTATATTTTGGTGTCGTTTCAAACACAACCCGAATATCGTTCTACGTATAACTCGTGCGAAAATTACCCTCATTCGATCCTCATGGAAGTAGAAAATTATCTAAAGTATGAGTTGCATACAATGAATCGACAATCACGATAGTTCTCGGCCCGAAAATGAAATAATAATGTTACATCATGGTGCGCTGTTACGTTCCGCTGCAAAAAATCCGTGATCTCGTATTCGTCAGTCGTACTTGTCTCTTGCCGTACCAGCGATCGGGTTTGTTCTCTACCTGGGGCTTTTACAAGTGATTCATATATAGAGTGAATTCGCGGCACGATAAACTAACTCGATAGAAGGCTGGAAAGCGAGTAGGACACGAGAGTGCCATATGAAATTCCGCTTTGTTACTATGCGTCGCTCTAGGTCTCTCTATTTTGTCTTTTCTTCAATTTCTTTCTCACAGTAGATTCTTTTACAAGCTTGCATTCGGGAAAAAGTGTACGTGTCCCAATAGCGCTTTGAATATTCAGTTCAGCGGAGGAAATGTATGCGTGATTCGATTATTAACGAATCGGATATAAGATACTTAGAAACTATGTTGTGTTAGGCTCTTAAGATATCCCATATAGCAATAGTGATATAACAGAAATATCACAGCAATATAATTATTCTATAGCAATGTTATATTATATAATGAAATGTAGCATGAATATTGCTGGAATATTACAAAGATATCATAGTAATATTCAGATGTCCACCAAAATGAATCACAATAACATAATGGTGATATTGCAAGTTTAAGTCGAAAAAATTACATTTTCATCTTAATTTAAACAGTTTTGACTATCAGTAACTGCGAAAGTTACTTCATATTTTATATTTATATTTCACATGTAATATTCGTGCATGGATTCGATATCGAGCGGCAGCTAGGCGATCATTTATTCAAATTAATACATGATCGACGTCGCTTGACCTCGATAATCGGTAATGAGTTCAACGATTATGACGATATCCTTGCCATTAAACCTTATGTAATGTACATTTATATTACTTCTTGTATATATTATATTGACAAAAGTGTTCCCGTACTACATACGATCATTTTTAGGAAATATTCGAAATTTATATCAATCGATTAATTAATCGATTAAATTTTCTTTTAAACATTTAGTGACTTCTTCAACCATTCTCCCACAAGTAAACATTATTATTCATTATTAGGTCATTAAATATGAAATGTTCGATTGCTAGCTCGTCCAATTCAAACAGTTCGTCCAGAACGTGGTTGGTCTTTCAGATCAAAATCTTCACCGCGAAATTTGTTATATCAATTTTTACACGTTGCATGACTTACAATATTATCATTATATGTAGTAGAAATCATTTCGGCGGCTTTAGCAGCGTTTTTCCTGAGATGAAATGTTACCCATTAAAAAAATATTTTATATATAATATATAAATATACGTAATTATGCATAATTATACTAAATTATGTATGAAATTTATCTATACATAATTATTTGATACTAATCATACGTAATTATGTATGATTGAAAACATTATTAAAGAAGAGACATGACAAAAGTTTTGCAGATATCTTGAAAAAATAATCAATTGTTTATTGATTTATATCCATCGCAATGATGTTTATCGCGGTATCCTAATCAGTCAAATCACAATTCTTGTGCGTCCAAAGTTCCGCAAGAGATGCAGCGGAAAACTGTATTTTATCATATCTCCAAAATTCTCTATAAAGAGAACATAACTCTTAATCCCGGTCACTTCAGCATCGACTGACCGGCACTCATCCAAATTACATGTTTTCACAAATAGATTAATCACGTTGTAACGATCCATTAATTCAGAAAACCAATACTCATGTATTAGAAGGTTTAAATGACATTGTAGAAAATAGTATAATAATTTAACACGAATAAGTGTAATATAAGCGAATAATACCGCGTTTATCACGCTTCTTTAGTAGCGAACTTTACATCATGAAACACTGAGACAAACTTTTCGCGATAGCTCAGCCATGAATAATGCTAAGATAGCGGTGTTTTGTATAATGTTTTCTTCGATCTTCCACAGAGGATAGAAACTTACAGAATTCGATTCGTACCGACCACAGACGAGATATAGAGGTGATCGGCATTATCCATTGACCAATATTACCCTATTTTCCGTAATAATAAAGAAGGTAAAACTTAAAAAAAGATATTTTTGTTACAATTGACACCATTCTCCCCTACTCGTTTTGAGTTTATCGCGTAATGGAAAATTAATCGTCCGGAATAGAATTCATTTAGTGCGACGACTTTCATAAAAAAAGGTAAAAAAAACAAAAAAATAGCGTTCTCAACAAACTAGTTGTCAAGTTTCTCGTGCATGTTATGAAACTCTCTGTATATGACGCGCACGAATAATGTTTTCGGTATTTTAATTCAATATTAAAGTTTGCCGCGGAATAATTCGTGACTCTACCATAAATCCTGCGAGAAAACAATTGCGAGGCGCCGCGGGAGACAACAACAAAGGTGCGGGCGCGTCTAAGATACGAGAACGCTCTGATTTGTGGCAAGTAGGAAAATTTCATTATAGGTTATAAGTCACGTGCCACTCTTTTCGAAGTACGACACAGCCATCAAAGCGTTAATACTGAAGTAACATTTCAAATATTATTCCGTCTTACTCACGACGAAAATGGTACATGATCCGTGCATTTTTAAGTATCATTAGAGCAATCCGAATATGACATTAAGGAAAAATGTAGAAAAGTAAAGTTCACCTAGATTAATTAATATTGCGATTATTACAACGGTGGTAAAATATTTTGAAAAGCAAGATCATGCTCTGGATATCGGAGGATTAAACATACTGCAAGGACAAACGTACACAAACACGCTATAATCTGACTCGATGAAATTATGACATACATATGACACTAGATTTAATTATGCTCAATGAGATGTAATTACGATCTCTATATTTTCGAAGAAACTATGCAGCGTTACACCGGAGCGTATTATTATTTTATTTGCAGCTTTTGAGCCTGAAGTATTTATCAATATGACCGGAATTATTTTCTCTTTCGTCTATATTCTTTTTCTCCTCTTTCTTCCTACCTCCTTACGAAGAAGGGAAAACAATCTTCGAGTTTTAAGGATTGAACAATAAAACTGAATGGAAAAAGAGTGTAATCTGTATATCTCTTCTAATATGAGTATTCTTCAAGCTCAATGACACAAAGGTAATATTTTTGTGTCACCATAGAACTTGAAATACTTTCTAAGTTTTCTTATTTTCTGTTTTTTGTCTTCTTTAAGCTTAATAAATATTTTTTAATTTCTTAATTTCTTTTTTTTTTTAATATCTGTTTTCAATATGATATTGAAAATGGTAAAATATAAAGGAAAACGAGAGATTTCGTTTCGTGATTATTTGTATCCAAATGTCAATGACAAATTAAATTAAGCTAAATCGATTCGTAAAATTTTTTTCAGATTCGTTAAAAATATTTTTTTTTATACTGCAATACTATTAATTTATTTTGTTATTAAAACTGATCATTGCGTTTAGATAACATTAACACTACAGCGTCATTATTTAATAATGGATCATGAAACTATGCGTAATCATCGTATAGTCTATAAACAAATAGTCCTTCATGATACTAGCATTCTTGTTGTATCTTAATCTTCGCTGAATAATGTCATCAAAGT